TATGTTAAGGTTTTGATAGCGAATTGAGTCATCAAGTGGGCCGTTTGGTTATTACATATTTAAGTAGGGATTGCTCTTCTCATTCTGCGAATTATTCTCTCATCTTAGTGAAAATCCAATAAAATTCAAAAATATATTTTTATGATATTTTTTCTAAACACCTTTTTTATGATATTTTTTCTAAACACCTTTAGTTACTATTTTTTTTTATGATATAGTCACGATGAACACTTCTATTATGTTTTGAAGTATACCCTTATAGACTTATAGTAATATATAATTTATTTCATTTTAGAAAACTAAACATGATAAAGAAGGATTGGGTGGAATTGCCTTCACACAGTCAAGATTATAAGGATGGTGTCAATTACTTTTTGGATATTGCGTTTACTAAAGGAATGGTTGAAGAAGAAGAGATTTTGTGTCCTTGTGTTGTATGTTGTATATATATTATGCATTTGGTAAACAATTTATACATCTTGCTGATAGAAGCATAAACCAGAAGTAAGATTTCATCCTTACGTATCATATCTTCACACAATGTCTCCACATAATCACATGTATTAATAACACCACCATCGCCCTTAGTAGAATCAACCTCAACAACTTCATGGATATGATCATCATTCTCCTTAAGCCTTTAATAATATTTCAACATGTTGGATAAGATGTCTGGCACATCTTTATAAACATCTTGATTTCTCATTTTAGATTCCTGGGGTTCTTCGCCAACAGACATGAGAAGATGATTTCTCAATGGCCCATACATGAGTTGGACATCAATCAAAATTCCACTAGCAGTCATATCATACTTATCAACATGTGGAATGTCGTGGAGAGCAATATTTGGAACATATTTCTTTACATATATCTTCTGGATGGACTTTAAGACATTAAGAGTAACACCAATTCAAGTTTCACCAAACACACTATCATGTTTTTGGTTAATTAAAATTCCAGACATATAAGAATGAATTCTATAATTCTCTTCTTCTTCAACTCCTTCTTCTGAACCACTACTGGTTGATCAATGTTGGAAGGACCTCCAGCCTGGCCATTAACCCGCCCTTCAAGGACAAACTCTTATTTGAATCTTATTAAGTCCATGTTTCCTAAATCAGAAGTATGAGTAAGAGGTTGAACCATCTTGAGTAGCATATTGGTTTTCTTCTTAGGAAGGAAAACTTCATAACTACATCCTTCTTCAACATTGAAATCAGTAAACATGTGACAACAACTTCCAAGCTTTCTGATGACTAAACCATGATCTTCAATAATATACTCTGCAGAGGAAGCTGCCATCTTCATCTTTACAAATTTCCTTTTCTTATGGCTATCACAATGAGCATCAAAGTTTCTTTCTCTAATCATCTTCCTAATGCAGCTAAGAAACCAATGTTCACAAGCTAATTCGTCGTGGGAGAAACAAGCAAAAATTATATTTGGATTTCCAAGCCAAACTTGTCGTCATTGGCTTTGAAGCTTCTCATTCCAATGAGGATATAACCGTCGATGGTGTGGCAGACTACGATACATCTTACAAAAGTACATGAGAATGGAGAAGACACACTTAAGAAACTGGTAATCATGCTTGACCCGATGGTGAAACATGTTACCTGACATTCTGCATTCTGATTTTTAAAAAGGAGTAATACACCTTTTATTTGAATTGGTTTGCTCACTAGAATGTGTAGCCTGTTTTACGTCTTTGAAGTTTTACAACATTTTTTGCTAGATTAGATTTAACTTTTTCATCAATAGAGACATTGTAGATTGCTCTTTGTTCGATTGGAAAACTTGAGCATTCATCTTGAATATGACAACAGTCTTTGCTATTAAGACATTGGATCCCTTTTCACTTGAAGGAATAATTGAGCTTTTATCTTTCACCATCCTTTCTTTTATTCTGAATGTTCTTGAAAATGGTAGGGAAATTCTTCCCAGACCTCTTGTCAAGTTGTCTCATGACTTTATTAAATCTCTAATTAAGCCTGAGATATTCTTCAGAATTACATTCAGCTTGAACATCACAATCTTCCTCCTTGTCAACAATCTTTGGAGGATTCTTAGCATTATGACGAATCTTTGGTTAATAAACATCTCCTCTTTCTTTAAAGTTCTCCATCTTGAACATAATAATATCTCCTTGGAGCTCACCCAAACAGAACAAGGTGCCTGCTCTAATTCCAATTGAAAAATTTATTCTAGAGGGGACAGATGTTGGACTAGACTCTTGGGACAATAAGAACTATTGCTTTATGACAGGTTACAACGTCTAGGGACAAATGTCAAACACGATGTCTGGGACATTATAAACTATAAAAAAAACATTTTGCTAACAAGATATGACATATAACGTTTACAAGATAATGAAGCAAAAAAAAACAATAAAGAACACCAGAGATTGGTAACCTAGTTTGATGAAACCACGCCTATGTCTGGAGGGAACTCTACCTAAGAAAGGAAATCCATTACTTCGAATTAGTACACTTAATCTTACAAGAACCAACAAACCTAATGTTGTTCAAATCCTCTTCTTAATCCTAGTGTATTTCTATTTTATGACTCCCTTTAAACATGAGAACCTACTCACTTTCTTCTCAATCACACCAACTGTGATTGGTGTTTACAACTCAATAAACAATGTTGAATATTACAACTCAAATAGGATAGACCTTCTATGCTAAGTTACTGAAATATAGAGGTGTACACAAAAGATTCAACCATAATACGGTTATGGCATTAGCGTAGAATACAAAAAAAACATGTTATCAAACTTATAGATTTAACATCTTGGAACAAGATTTACAACTCAATAAAAACGAAAACTACATGCCTTATGAGATGAAAAGAGACGCTAGAGTGATGCGCATACAGAGACTAAAAAGATAAACCCAAACAAAAAAGTATCTTCAAAGCTTGCACGCCTAAAAAGTGATATTTGAGCATCCTTAAATAGCGATGTAATCCTAGGCTTTTCTTCTTGGATTTTTGATTTAATTTCATCCAAAATAATAGCATAATCTTGTTGGATTTAATTATCTCCATTCAGTTCTCCAATAGAAGATATGATTTTTTATCAATTCAAATTCAAATTTAAATCTCCATATAAATAAATTTGATCTTCAACATCTGTCAAACAAATCACACAAATGCATTGCACAAATACAACAACAAATATGATCGAATATAAACTAGATTTTGTTCTATAAAAATGCAACAATATTGTCCTATTGTACTAAGGATGTTGCACTACACATGTTGGAACATTGTGTTCCACATGTTGCAACACTATATCCAAATTCATTCCTCTCTATAACATGTAGATCTTCTAAGGTAGAGAGAATCTTAGATAGATAAATACTCAACCACAATTGCAATAGTTATTCGATGTTGCAACATACACTAACATTTAACTTGTTGATGAAGACCAGATATTGCAACACACATGTTGGAACATCGTGTTCCACATGTTACACAAGAGAATCCAAAATAATTTTTCTTCATATAAGTCTTTTTTGCAGAGTATTTCTTGCACCAAATATCCCTTCAAGGTACATCCAATCAAAACTTCTTTGGCTGTGTCAAATTCAAATGTTTTAAACTTGATTTTGGATTAACAAGACAAACTTCTTCATGAACGCAAGTCTCTGCATCTTGAAGAAGTCAACCCCCCAACTCTTCTAAAGGACATCAAAACCTCAACCTCAAGCTTAAATGCTTAACTAGTTATGTCAAGCATTTTAGCCAAACAACTCTTGCAACTAGTTTTGTCAAACACTTTAGTCAAACAATTATTGCTTAATTGATTATGTCAAGCACTTTAGTCAACAACCCTTCTTGAAAACAAACTCAGATGTTGGAACACATGTATGAACATCTTATTTCACATGTTATCTAAAATTCATCTTACTCATATATTGTTTTACCAAAAACAAACAATCCAAAACAAAAAAAAAAACAATATCTATCATGTAATATGGTGTAACTTTATAATGATTTGTACAATGTACTAAGGTATTAATACAATGTAATTGAATTATTTTGTTTTAAATATTTTAGTAGTTAATACCCTACTTGCACAATTTTGTGCTGGAACACAATTTTTAAAAAGAGTAATCAGTAATTTTTATGGTAAAATCTTTTTTTCAAAAACTATTTCATTAAAAACAACAAGAATTCAAGCATTCAAAACATACTTTTACATAATTTATTTTAATTTAATTAAATAATTTTCTTTATTTGAGAAATACAATTTTTAATTCAAATGTTAAATTTTTTTTTCATCTCGCGAGTTCCATTTTTATTTTTATACGGTTATTTAATACAATTGAATTTATATGATCATTGTTCATTTTACAATTAAATAACTCATTTCAAATTTACATATATATCTAAATACATTTTATATAGTATCAAATTAGATAATACTTTTTAATCGTGCAGACAACTAACTTTTCATCTCATGGATCACTATGAGCACAACGCCTATTTTATTTTTAATCATCACCAATTGAGTTATTGTTTATTTTATAATTAAATAACTCATTTAAATTTTACATATGTATCTAAATACATTTTATACCATATCAAATTAGATAATACTCAACAACCATATAATCAACTACTTTTCCATCTTACGACTTACTATCAACACAATATATATTTCATATAAATATAATTAAATTTATAAGATCATTATACATTTTACAATTAATTAACTCATTTCAAATTTACATTTATATTTAAATAAATTTTATATCCTATCTAATATATTTATCCGTGTGGTGGGTATCTTGCTAATAATTTTTTATGACAATCTTTTTTTTTTCAAAAAATATTTCATTAAAAACAACAAGAATTTAAACATTCAAAACAGAATTTGTCATTCTCATGTCTTCATTCAACAATACTTTTACATATTTATATAACAATATATGAAATAGGTAAAAACTTGTTGAACTACACAAGATGTTAACCAAATAAATGTACTTAAAAATTCACAAATTACTACATTTGTCAACCTCATCTGATCCCTTTTCACCAATAGCTTTTAGAAGCTCTTCATTAACATCTCTAACATCAAGATTTTGATCCTCAGCCACAATAATAGCTTCCATAGAAAACCCATTTTCAGTTGAAACTCTTGCTTGCTCAACATTCACACACATCTTTTCAAAAGCCTCTAAAATAGCAACCAACTTGTCACCTCCTTTTACACATGTCACCTTCACCATAAATGTTCCTTCCCTTATTTTCTCTATTTTAACCTCCTGTTAAATTATGTAAAACATAAAATATAATCATCAGTATCATGCTACTTGTGTTTTCCTATGTTTATAAGGTTAAGAGGAAGAAGAAAAAAAACAAACCTTGTTATCATTGACATTATTATTCAGTAAACTAATGTAGTATCTTCTTGTGGCTAACAGGTTTTCATACTCTCTCTTGACATTTTCCAGTGCCATCTTTAGCTTCTGTATATGTAGAAAACTACACTTAGCAGTAGAACTTCTGTTGATATTGGCCTTCAAAAACAAACAGAAAATTTTTTATTCCTTGAAAGATTAATAATATTAGGAATATGAGAATATTAAAAGAAATGTTAGAATGTTTTACATTGTTGTTGGAGTTGGTAAGAGCTCGCAGAATGTGAAGTCTTCTGCGAAATGATACCCTTTTCTGCACTCTGCAAGCCATGTCGTATATTAACTGGTTTTGCTATCTCTTGTGATTTTTGAATGTTGAAGTGTGAGAATACTATGGTATTTATGGTTGGTGAAATGGAGGGTCATGTGTTGGATTATTGTCATTGGAAATTTGGAATTGATAAAAATATGCCATGGCTACTTTATGTTTGTCGTATATGAAATATGAAATGATGGTCTTGAAATGATGAAATTTTAATTGAGAGACAGAATAATTCTTTATTTTACTCATCATGTCTGAAACAGGATATGTTTTCCTGAAAAATCGGTTAAAATATTGTCCTATGTTTACATTTACATTATTGTATTATTTTCTGTAATCTATAATTAAGTGATGAAACTCCAGTAATTAATAGATTCACTTAAAAATAAATTGTTCCTCCAGAATAATCCTTGTTTAGGTTTTACTTATTTAACGGTTAAATTTCAGATTACTAGAATCTCTTTTATATAAAAATTAAAATATTAATCCAAAAAAGTGTATCGCTTATCCAATATCTATTTATGCGACACAAGTGTTATGTTAACTGTTTATGCTAAAAATTTTATCAACGGTTGAAAATAATATTAAGTGTGAGTTGGAGCTTTATATTAGTTATAAATATGAAAAATTGAATATTTATAAGTGGAAGAGCTCGTATACATATTACTTTAATTTAGGGTTTTGAATGAATATGAAATGTCTTTCTCACTTGTGTTGCTCTTGATCAAATCTTGATGCTTCTCCCCATAACCCAACAATAATATCATGAGTCTTTAGTTTGAGTAAAAAGACTTACTTACATGTATTGAAATATCTGAGAAGAGGTGTATCGAAATGTCCAAAAAAGAAGTGTCAACGGCAGTACAAAAATATATAAACAAAATAATTTCCACTTAAAAAGAAACATTATCGAAGACACATCTAAATTCAACTTAATCCAATATTGCTTATGGACATGGACAAAAACTACACACAACCAGATATACAAGGCTCGAGACCATACAACATAGAAGTAGAACGAAAAGTGAGGTCATAAATTTGAGCAGGACTAACATTATATATTACGCACACGATTAAATATATTTTTTTTTCATTTTTACTAATAAATACAGCCTCATCCATAGATTCACATGTGTCAACATCCCACAACAAATAATTATTTGTGTACCATATTATAAAGTTGAATAAAAAACTGTCATCAAGAAAATAAATAAATCATATTGCATAAAAAATATTAGAAACAAAGGCTGGTCCCTAAATATCATAATGAATAAGATCAAGTGATGTAATACTCTTTGTAAGATTTGAATGAAAAGTGAAAAAAAAAATCATGTTTAAAAGACTTATATTATTTTAAAATTAGGGATAACAACGTAAACTTCATTAATGAAAAAGGAAGATTCTTAAGTGAAAAATGAAGATTACCAAAATATTTGTGTTGAAGTCATATTTAAGAGGCAAAAGAAGACTCTAACTAATATTGAAGTGCATAACATACCACCTTCTGATCAGTTTTCTCATTAATATAACTCTTCATTTTCTTTAGCAACTTCAATCATTTCTCCGTTGTAAGATTTTAAAAAGTACAATGAGAATTGAAATATATATAATTACATAATTATTATCCTTTGTAAAACAAATCATTCAGTTTAAAAAATTGAAAACCAGTGTTTTTACAACCATCTATTCGAATATGAGAATCATCTCCAACAATAATATATAAAATGTCAAACTGAAATTTTTTTAAAATAATATTGAAAATCAAATGACATGTCATGTGTGACATTAAAATCAAGAATCCAAACATTTTTAGAGCATATATAAATAAAATTAAATATAGAAATCACAATAAATCTACATTTAAGCTTAATGATTGATCTTTGCAAAGTGTTTTCTCAAGAGAATAAAAAGAAAAAACTCCAATAATAATAGCAAATAAAAAAATACCATAACTATAAAAATCTATCATTTGTATATTTCAAACAAATTCTAATAAAAAAATCACGTTCTAATAGACTTACTACACTATAAACACCTACAATAACAGTTATAATGGCGACCAACCACAATCAAAATTTTAAATCATAGTACTCTGTCCTAAATTATAAATTATTTTGTTAAAAAAAATTATTTTAAAATTATAAATTATCTTACATTTTCAATGTAATATAAATGACATTTTTTTCAATATGACCTTAAATATTTATTATTATTTATTTTTCAACTCTTTTAATTTTTTTATCTTTTGTAATTATGAAATATATTACTGTAAAGTTATATATAATTTGACTTTTTCATAAAATAATAATTAAGTTTCTTAATTTATATGAACTATTCAAAATATCTTATAATTTAGAATGGAAAAAATACTTCCTTCGATAAAGTTTAAAAATCCACGACGATTTTATATTAATTGTTAGTATAAGCTAGAGTTTGCTAAAAGTAGTCGTAACTTTGTTATAATTATTTGCATGTTAGAATTAATAAAATATATGTTGGTTATACTTTCAAAATTGACTATGTGTTTATATAATTGATTTTGACCTATTTAACGAATTTGTAAAATAATTTAATATGCTATGATTCTATTTTAAAATAAAATTTATAATTTTTTAGTATAAAAGAGATTTTTATGCTAAAATTTATTATTCAGCTTACTTTTTATAAAACATAAATAATTTATCTTTTATTGATTTTTATTTAAAATTAATTTTTTTCTAAAAAATTTTAGTATTCGACTTTGTGACTGATATGATTGACTATGACTAATCGCACAGTTTATTAACGAGAAATCCGTTTAACTCCGTGTTGACGGTTAAAATTAATTATTTAAATTAATTTTATTAACCACATAAATAGAATGTTTATCTTAGTCACAACAACTTTAAAATAAAAAACTCTCAATTCACTTTTCCTTATTATGTGGTATACAAATCATAGCAACTCATCAAAAGCAACCCAAAAGAACAAAATATGAATTGAAACCATAGTAGTTGTCATAAATATTCATGATGAAACAAGACTGTAAAAGTAAAAACATGCATGGGAAGAGATGTTGGAAACAAACCAACGGGCAAGCAAGCCATAGTAGAAAAAAGTATTAATTGTCTCAATCTCAAATAGTATCTGTGACTAAAAGAGAGAGTCAAATCCAATTAAACACAGGTATATATGTTTTTATGCATAGTACATACATATCAGTTCTTCACAGTGTTCACGGGTTCTTGTTTTTTCCTTTTGCTTTGTCTCAACCTAACCTTCAATTTGCATAATTATACCAATTTATTCCCATGCCAAACCTTCACTACCTAGTGGCTACAGTTGTATTATCACATGTGCTGACACAAATTCTGTTTTATTCTTTACATCCTTCTCCTTTTCGATTTCTTCACTTTCAGATTCGTTGCCTTCTAACCACTTTCAGTTAAATCTTAAACCTTAATTAAGTAATACCAGCTCGACATTCTCTTCCTTTTGTCTTATTTTTTTTCAAGTAGCACTTTATAGTATTTGGTATATAATGATTTAAATGTTATTTGAAAGAATTAGTAGATTAGCATGTTGGATATTGGTTTATAACAAGTGTGGTCGAGTTGAAAAAATGTTTTGCTAATAATAATAATTGTGTTGATAATTTTTGTGGTTAGTTTATGTGTCTGATCTCCTATTATTGAGGACTGTGTACACTGCCTTCATTTGTTGCAGACATGAAATAATGCCAAGGTAGCACAGAGTTGTACAGAAAGGATAAGGACAAAGAATCAATTGTTAATTTTAAAAAGAAAAAAAAAACAAAAAGAAGAGCTGCAACTTTTTCTCAAGAAAAAAAAAGAAGTATGCTTTAAAAATTTAACTAATGTAAAATTTTCGTTTTTCTTTTTGGAAATTAGAGAAATCAAAAATCAACTTGAAAGCAGAGGCGGTGGCCGCGGCAAGACATTGAGGCCTAGTTCGATGGATGGTTCAGTTTGTTGAAGCTTGTTTGAGGGGTAAAATTATCTTTTTTTTTGAAAAAATTTGTTATATTATTTTATACAAACCAAATTTCATAGAAATCTAAGTAAAAACCAAATTTCTTAAAGATTTAGATTTTAGATCTTCAAATTATTAAATTTTGGAGAAGATAAAATGTTGAGTGCAAGAGTATTTTCTACGGATCTTGCATGAATTTGATTCTGAAGCAAAGTAAAATAAGGGTTAGATAAATAAAATTAATATTCAAATATATGATTTTGTGCTCAAATAAATATTTAAGAAAACAAACCTTAAACCCAACTAATTTTCTACTCTTACGATTCATCTTAGAGAACTCTTCCAAACGCCTTTATGTTTCAAGCTTCATATTCTAAATACATTAGATTTTCAATATTCATACTTTTATAATTGATATCTCTTAGGTTTCACGTGAATCACTAATGACAGATTCTTGAGCGTTGATGAACATTAAATGGACGGCAAAGACTTGTTTAAGGGCGATAAATATAGTAAAAACAACGTTTAACTATGCCATCGGTCATAAAGAAAATTGAGGTGAATAAAATATTTTTTTAATTAAATTTTTACACAAAATATTAAAAATACATTGTAAATTCTGTTTCCCAATGAGAATTTTTATTTTTCATGTCCAGGTCTCATGCAAGATGCTAGAGATCTGTTTCCTAATGAGAATTTTTATTTTTCATCTCCAAGTCTCATGCAAGATGCTAGAGATCTGCTTCCCAATGATAATTTTTATTTTCTGCACTTGCAATCTATCTCAGAGATCGGTAATAGCAACTCATGATCAAATGGAAGGTGATGAATATTTCGGGTCTTTGGGGCGGCCACATATAAGTTAGTTTTAGGGTAAAATTTGTTTAACGAGTGTTTTTATATAAAATATGATCATTAAACACCTCAATTTTATTATAAAACAAAGGTTTTTTTATCTTCTCCTTTTAACTATCACTTCGGTGATATGACGAAAACCGAGTTGAATACTTTTTTTTTTGAAATTACATTGTTTATAT